CATGCTAGCCAATACTGTAAATACCGAATTACAGAAAATATCAACCTGGATGAGGACCAACAAACTTACTCTAAACATTGACAAAACCTACTACATTCAGTTTGGTAACAGAGCTGCAGATGTGTCTCTTAACATAATGATAAATGGATCACCTATCACAAAACTCACAGAGGGAAAATTCCTAGGAATCCACCTTGATAATAGACTCAAATTTCATACACATATACAACAAATTTCCAAAAAAATTTCCAAGATCGTAGGCATACTATCGAAGATACGGTACTATGTTCCACAGTCAGCCCTCCTGGCCCTATATCACTCACTTATTTACCCCTATCTCACCTATGGAATTTGTGCATGGGGCTCAACAACAGTAAACCATCTCAGACCACTAATCACCCAACAAAAGGCTGCAGTCAGAATGATAACAAATTCCCACTACAGACAGCACACTCTACCAATATTCAAAACTCTAAACCTACTCACAATACAAAACATCCATACTTATTACTGCACCTACTACATACATAGAACACTTAACTCTGACATAAACCCTCCCCTCAAACATTTCCTTACCAACCTCAACAGAACACATGACCATAACACAAGACACATCACTCTTTGATGCTCCTCGTGTCCATTGCACGCTATGCAAAAACTCAATGCACATAAAAGACCCTAAAATCTGGAATTCATTACCTGTGAATATAAAAGAAACACTGTCTGTTTATAAATTCAAGTCTCTTCTCAAAAATCACTTACTCACCCACAACTAAATAATTATTTTTTTTTTTTTTTATTATCACACCGGCCGATTCCCACCAAGGCAGGGTGGCCCGAAAAAGAAAAACTTTCACCATCATTCACTCCATCACTGTCTTGCCAGAAGGGTGCTTTACACTACAGTTTTTAAACTGCAACATTAACACCCCTCCTTCAGAAGTGCAGGCACTGTACTTCCCATCTCCAGGACTCAAGTCCGGCCTGCCGGTTTCCCTGAATCCCTTCATAAATGTTACTTTGCTCACACTCCAACAGCACGTCAAGTATTAAAAACCATTTGTCTCCATTCACTCCTATCAAACACGCTCACGCATGCCTGCTGGAAGTCCAAGCCCCTCGCACACAAAACCTCCTTTACCCCCTCCCTCCAACCCTTCCTAGGCCGACCCCTACCCCGCCTTCCTTCCACTACAGACTGATACACTCTTGAAGTCATTCTGTTTCGCTCCATTCTCTCTACATGTCCGAACCACCTCAACAACCCTTCCTCAGCCTCTGGACAACAGTTTTGGTAATCCCGCACCTCCTCCTAACTTCCAAACTACGAATTCTCTGCATTATATTCACACCACACATTGCCCTCAGACATGACATCTCCACTGCCTCCAGCCTTCTCCTCGCTGCAACATTCATCACCCACGCTTCACACCCATATAAGAGCGTTGGTAAAACTATCTCTCATACATTCCCCTCTTTGCCTCCAAGGACAAAGTTCTTTGTCTCCACAGACTCCTAAGTGCACCACTCACTCTTTTTCCCTCATCAATTCTATGATTCACCTCATCTTTCATAGACCCATCCGCTGACACGTCCACTCCCAAATATCTGAATACATTCACCTCCTCCATACTCTCTCCCTCCAATCTGATATTCAATCTTTCATCACCTAATCTTTTGTTATCCTCATAACCTTACTCTTTCCTGTATTCACCTTTAATTTTCTTCTTTTGCACACCCTACCAAATTCATCCACCAATCTCTGCAACTTCTCTTCAGAATCTCCAAGAGCACAGTGTCATCAGCAAAGAGCAGCTGTGACAACTCCCACTTTGTGTGTGATTCTTTATCTTTTAACTCCACGCCTCTTGCCAAGACCCTCGCATTTACTTCTCTTACAACCCCATCTATAAATATATTAAACAACCACGGTGACATCACACATCCTTGTCTAAGGCCTACTTTTACTGGGAAAAAATTTCCTTCTTTCCTACATACTCTAACTTGAGCCTCACTATCCTCGTAAAAACTCTTCACTGCTTTCAGTAACCTACCTCCTACACCATACACTTGCAACATCTGCCACATTGCCCCCCTATCCACCCTGTCATATGCCTTTTCCAAATCCATAAATGCCACAAAGACCTCTTTAGCCTTATCTAAATACTGTTCACTTATATGTTTCACTGTAAACACCTGGTCCACACACCCCCTACCTTTCCTAAAGCCTCCTTGTTCATCTGCTATCCTATTCTCCGTCTTACTCTTAATTCTTTCAATTATAACTCTACCATACACTTTACCAGGTACACTCAACAGACTTATCCCCCTATAATTTTTGCACTCTCTTTTATCCCCTTTGCCTTTATACAAAGGAACTATGCATGCTCTCTGCCAATCCCTAGGTACCTTACCCTCTTCCATACATTTATTAAATAATTGCACCAACCACTCCAAAACTATATCCCCACCTGCTTTTAACATTTCTATCTTTATCCCATCAATCCCGGCTGCCTTACCCCCTTTCATTTTGCCTACTGCCTCACGAACTTCCCCCACACTCACAACTGGCTCTTCCTCACTCCTACAAGATGTTATTCCTCCTTGCCCTATACACGAAATCACAGCTTCCTATCTTCATCAACATTTAACAATTCCTCAAAATATTCCTTCCATCTTCCCAATACCTCTAACTCTCCATTTAATAAACTCCCTCTCCTATTTTTAACTGACAAATCCATTTGTTCTCTAGGCTTTCTTAACTTGTTAATCTCACTCCAAAACTTTTTCTTATTTTCAACAAAATTTGTTGATAACATCTCACCCACTCTCTCATTTGCTCTCTTTTTACATTGCTTCACCACTCTAAATACTCTAAATAAATACTGAATAATTGTATCTCATATATGTCTCATTATTGTATCTCATAAATGTCAACCTGTGACCCAATCAAACTTTGTTACTACTTAACTTCATTACCTAACAGAATACTCCATTCTACTGATTACACAGCAACACAGTAAATGATCACATGACCTGTCTTTGTAATACTCATTTGTGCTAAATTGTTATCTGTTTACAATAATGTATTTACCACTGAATATATCATTGCTTAGTTAATCTTAAGTTAATTTTAAGCCTGCCCATAATGCTCTGCATACAAGGGGCTTTGGCATGCTGCACTTTAAAAATTGTATTCCTTGTACTTCTCTGTATCATGTTCAAAATAAATAAATAAATAAATAAATAAATAAATACTGATTGTACAGCAATGCAAGCAACCATATGACCTGTTTCTGTAATAATCATTTGTGCTTAATTGTTATCTGTTTACAATAATGTTTTACCACTGAATACTTCACTGCTTAGTTAATCTTAAGTTAATTTTAAGCCTGCCCGTAATGCTATGCATTCAAGTGGCTTTGGCATGCTGCATTTAACTGTATTCTTTTGTACTTCTCTGTATCATGTTCAAATAAATAAATAAATAAATATAGTAGTATGTCATTGATGTCAGCTAGGCCTGTATACCTTGTACATGTAATTGTAGTGTCATGTTAAAGCCAAGCTTCAATAAGAATAATCAGAGAATTGAGTAGTGCTAAGAGGTCATCATAATGCTTACTGAGGGATCTAACATTATAACTAAATACTGATATATTCTTGGGGGCATTGAGAATCGTTTTTGCCTGGCTTGCTGTGTAATAAAGACATCTATTCTCAAAAGAATACTGTTGATCACTGCAGTTAGAAAGAAGATTAAAATCTGGGCCAATATCCGTATTCACGAGCAAGGAAGTATAAAGTGTAAGAGGAAAGAAGGTATTTTCTTTTTGGGGATTTTCTTTCTTTTTTGGGTCACCCTGCCTCGGTGGGAGACGACCAACTTGTTGAAAAAAAAAAAAAAAATTAACTAGGATAACTGTTAACAAAATCACTTAAGAGAGTATAGACAATGTCTAGAATAAAAAGTGATTAAGAACCTTACAACACTAATATAAATACTAGGCATCAAATTAACCACCTGATACTGCAGTAACTGCAATAATGAAAATTGCTAACAATAAGTAAAAGTTTTAGACAATATAATATATACAGTACTATACTAAAAATATGGTAGTGGGCACTGGATAACCTCTAATTTTGGGGGTTAAAGAATATAATACACAGTTTAAATAAAAATATGGTAGTGGGCACTGGATAACCTCTAATTTTGGGGGTTAAAGAATATAATACACAGTTTAAAAGTTAGACTACAATGGTCCCTGATTTTTACAGAACCTATGTTAAGAGTTAATAATTGTATCACAAAACATTGAAAGTTTGATTAATCAGGAAAAGAATCTAGTACTGTAATTATACAGGAAAAAAAAATCAAAGGAAATAAAAAATGAAATTTCGAAACTATTAATATGCTACACTGGGTAGTTTAAATTAGTCTTCAGATATATCAAGAAGAAATGCTAAAACAGCTATTAACAGTGTGCATTACGCCAAAATTAGAATAAACAGTGATAGTAAGGTGCCTACATCTAAATTTAAAAAAAAAAGAGAGAAATCAGTGCTATAAAATGAATTCTTGCCTAAAAATATGACAGATATGAAAAAAACAGATGATGTGATAACCACATATAAAATCATACAGTGTGTTAGGAGATACTTGCTTTGTTTTTTTTTTTAAAGATTAACCACCACCACCACCTTAAAAGGCTACACTAAAATAAATAAAAGCTTTTATTAACATTATTGACAAGAAGAATATGAGGCCACAATGGTAAACTGGGATAAAATCAATGCTAATAGGATGCTAGGAAGTTTGTCTTGCATTATAGAATAACAGAACATTGGAACAGGATCTAAAAGGAGGTTATATATATTTTACAACCACTGAAAATATTTTCAGAATAAATAATAAAATAAAGAGTGAAGACATGATGTCATGAGCACAGCTCTGCTCCTCTAACTACAAAAGGTAATCAATTTTAATTACTCCCACATACCAGAAATTATATTTATGATAATCATCCTAGTAAATCCAGCTGATGGCACAGTGAAGAAGAATGAGCAGAGATACATCAGAGGCAAGGTCACCCAGACATAGTGAACAAATATCAGCAGGATTCTTGCCAGTTGCTCTCCTTCACTTAAACCCTTCAGACCAAACAACTGCAAAAAATGAAAAACAAAAACCAATACATATACTATGCAGAAGTGAAAATCTTGTTGTGGATACATGCAATGCATTGGAGTTATACAGGTGTACTCCAGGTAATATATAAAATAGTGAATAATTACATCCACAAATGATAATTTGTAGTATTGAAGCCCCTTTGGTAAGACAGTGGTTGAGTGAGTGATGGTGAAGGTGTTTCTTCTTTTTTGGGTCGCCCTACCGCAGTGGGAGAAAGTCAGTTTGTTGGAAAAAAAATATAGATATTATACAGTACAGCCTCTCCTCACTTAATGACAGAGTTCCATTCCTAAGACCACATCAGAAAATGAATTTGTCTCTGCATAATATTTACACCACACATTGCGCTTAGACAGGACATCGCCACTGCCTCCAGCCACCACACTGCTGCAGCATTTGTAACCCAAACTTCACACCCATTTAAGTGTTGGCACCACTATACTTTCATACATTCCCTTCTTTGCCTCCATGGGTAACGTTTTTTTTGTCTCCACAGATACCTCAATGCACCACTCACCCTTTTACCTTAATCAATTCTATGGTTAACCTCATCCTTCAAAAATCCATCCGCGGACACATCTACTCCCAAATATCTGAAAACATTCATTTTTTCCAAACTCCTTCTCTCCAATATAACATCAAATTTTTCTTTATCTAAATCATTTGATACCCTCATCACCTTACTCTTATCTATGTTCACTTTCAGCTTTCTACCTTTACACACCCTCCCAATTTCGTCCACTAACCTTTGCAGCTTTTCTTTATAATCTCTCATAAGCACAGTATCATCAGCAAAAAGTAACTGTCACTTCCCATTTTGTATTTGATTCCACATAATTTAATCTCACCCCTCTCCCGAACACCCTAGCATTTACTTCTTTTACAACCCCATCTATAAATATATTAAACAACCATGGTGACATTACACAGCCCTGTCTAAGGCTTACTTTTACCGGGAAGTAGTCTCCCTCTCTTCTACACACCCTAACCTGAGCCTCACTATCCTGTAAAAACTCATTACAGCATTTAGTAACTTACCACCTATTCCATATACTTGCAATATCTGCCACATTGCTCCCCTATCCACTTCATCATATGCCTTTTCTAAATCCATAAATGCAATAAAAACTTCCCTACCTTTATCTAAATGCTGTTCACACACATGCTTCAATGTAAACACTTGATCTACACATCCCTACCCACTCTAAAACCTCCTTGCTCATCCGCAATCCTACATTCTGTCTTACCTCTAATTCTTTCAATAATAACCCTACCATACACTTTTCCTGGTATACTCAGTAAACTTATTCCTCTGTAATTTTTACAATCTCTTTTGTCTCCCTTCCCTTTATATAAAGGGACTATACATGCTCTCTGCCAATCCTTAGGTAACTTAAATAACAAAAAGGCACAATACCGTGACTGGAACGCTACACAAATAATCCGCACATAAAAGAGAGAAGCTTACGACGACGTTTCGGTCCGACTTGGACTTTGTCAATGGTCCAAGTCGGACCGAAACGTCGTCGTAAGCTTCTCTCTTTTATGTGCGGGTTATTTGTGCTTAGGTACCTTCCCCTCTTTCATACATTTATTAAACAAAAATAGCAACCACTCCAACACTATATCCTGCACTGCTTTTAACATTCGTGTCATGATCCCATCAGTTCCAGCTGCTTTACCCCCTTTCATTCTACATAATGCCTCATGCACCTCCCCCACACTCACATCCTGCTCTTCTTCACTCCTAAAAGATGGTATACCTCCCTGGCCAGTGCATGAAATTACCGCCTCCCTTTCTTCATCGACATTTAAAAGTTCCTCAAAATATTCTCGCCATCTACTCAATACCTCCATCTCCCCATCTACTAACTCCCCTACTCTGTTTTTTAACTGACAAATCCATTCATTCCCTAGGCTTTCTTAACTTGTTTAACTCCAAAATTTTTTCTTATTTTCATTAAAATTTCTTGACAGTGCTTCTCCCACTCTATCATCTGCTCTCCTTTTGCACTCTCTCACCACTCTCTTCACCTTTCTTTTACTCTTCATATACTCTACTCTTCTTATAACACTTCTGCTTTGTAAAAAAGCCTCTCATAAGCTACCTTTTTCTCTTTTATCACACTCTTTACTTCATTCCACCAATCACTCATCTTTCCTCCTGCACCCACCCTCCTATAACCACAAACTTCTTCCCCACATTCTAATACTGCATTTCTAAAACTATTCCAACCTTCTTCAACCCCCCTCCCCTCCCCACTACTCATACTTGCCCCAGCCCACCTTTCTGCCAATAGTTGCTTAAATCTCACCCGAACTTCCTCCTCCCTTAGTTTATACACTTTCACCTCCCTCTTACTTGTTGCCATTTTCCTCTTGTCTCATCTACCTCTTACTCTAACTGTAGCTACAACTAAATAATGATCCAATATATCAGTTGCCCCTCGATAAACATGTGCATCCTGGAGCCTACCCATCAACCTTTTATCCACCAATACATAATCCAACAAACTACTTTCATTACGTGCAATATCATACCTTGTATATTTATCCTCTTTTTCATAAAATATGCATTACTTATTACAAAACCTCTTTCTGCATATAGCTCAATTAAAGGCTCCCCATTTTCGTTTACCCCTGGCACCCCAAATTTACCTACTACTCCCTCCACATTTTTACCCACTTTAGCATTGAAATCCCCAACCACAAGTACTCTCACACTTGGTTGAAAACTCCCCACGCATTCACTCAACATTTCCCAAAATCTCTCTCTCTCCCCTACACTTCTCTTTTCTCCAGGTGCATATACGCTTACTATAACCCACTTTTCACATCCAACCTTTATTTTACTCCACATAATCCTTGAATTAATACATTTATAGTCCCTCTTTTCCTGCCATAGCTTATTCTTCAACATTATTGTTACTTCTTTAGCTCTAACTCTATTTGAAACCCCTGACCTAATCCCATTTATTCCTCTCCACTGAAACTTTCCCACCCCCTTCAGCTTTGTTTCACTTAAAGCCAGGACATCCAGCTTCTTCTCATTCATAACATTCACAATCATCTCTTTCTTATCATTCACACAACATCCACGCACATTCAGACATCTTACTATGACAATTTTCTTCTTCTTATTCTTTTTAGTAATTATTACAGGAAAAGGGGTTACTAGCCCATTGTTCCTGGCATTTTAGTTGACTTTTACAACATGAATGGCTTACGGAGGAAAGATACTTATTCTGCTATCCCCTTGGATATTAAAGGAAAAGTAATAAGAACAAGAGCTATTAAGATAAAATCAAAGAAAACTAAGATGAGTGTGTATAAATAAACGTGTACATGTATGTGTAGTGTGACCTAAGTGTAAGTAGAAGTAGCAAGACGTACCTGTAATCTTGCATATTTATGAGACAGACAAAAGACACCATCAATCTCACCATCATGTAAAACAATTATAGGCTTTTGTTTTACACTCACTTGGCAGGACGGTAGTACCTCCTTGGGTGGTTGCTGTCTACCAACCTACTACAGTACTGTATGTATATATATTTTTTTTTTTTTTTTTTTCAACAAGTCGGTCGTCTCCCACCGAGGCAGGGTGACCCAAAAAAAAAGAAAGAAAATCCCCAAAAAGAAAATACTTTCATCATCATTCAACACTTTCACCACACTCACACATTATCACTGCTTTTGCAGAGGTGCTCAGAATATAACAGTTTAGAAGCATATACGTATAGAGATACACAACATATCCCTCCAAACTGCCAATATCCCAAATCCTTCCTTTAAAGTGCAGGCATTGTACTTCCCATTTCCAGACTCAAGTCCGACTATATGAAAATAACCGGTTTCCCTGAATCCCTTCACTAAATATTACCCTGCTCACACTCCAACAGATCGTCAGTCCCAAGTATCATTCGTCTCCATTCACTCCTATCTAACACGCTCATGCACGCTTGCTGGAAGTCCAAGCCCCTCACCCACAAAACCTCCTTTACCCCCTCTTTCCAACCCTTTCGAGGACGACCCTACCCCTCTTTCCTCTCCCCTATAGATTTATATGCTTTCCATGTCATTCTACTTTGATCCTTTCTCTCTAAATGACCAAACCACCTCAACAACCCCTTTTCTGCCCTCTGACTAATGCTTTTATTAACTCCACACCTTCTCCTAATTTCCACACTCTGAATTTTCTGCATAATATTTACACCACACGTTGCCCTTAGACAGGACATCTCCACTGCCTCCAACCGTCTCCTCGCTGCTGCATTTACCACCCAAGCTTCACATCCATATAAGAGTGTTGGTACTACTATACTTTCATACATTCCCTTCTTTGCCTCCATAGATAACGTTTTTTGACTCCACATATACCTCAACGCACCACTCACCTTTTTTCCCTCATCAATTCTATGATTAACCTCATCCTTCATAAATCCATCCGCCGACACGTCAACTCCCAAGTATCTGAAAACATTCACTTCTTCCATACTCCTCCTCCCCAATTTGATATCCAATTTTTCTTTATCTAAATCATTTGATACCCTCATCACCTTACTCTTTTCTATGTTCACTTTCAACTTTCTACCTTTACACACATTCTCAAACTCATCCACTAACCTTTGCAATTTTTCTTTAGAATCTCCCATAAGCACAGTATCATCAGCAAAAAGTAACTGTCAATTCCCATTTTGAATTTGATTCCCCATAATTTAATCCCACCCCTCTCCCGAACACCCTAGCATTTACTTCTTTTACAACCCCATCTATAAATATATTAAACAACCATGGTATATATATATATGTATATATTCCTTATATTATCCTAGGCTATTGTGCCCTAGGCTATATTATCCCAGGCTGTGTTGTCCCATGCTATATTGTTCTAGGTTATATTATAGGCCATACTGTTATAGGCTATATTATAATGCTCTATATTGTTCTAGGCTATATTGTTCTAGGCTATATTGTTCTAGGCTATATTGTTCTAGGCTATATTGTTCTAGGCTATATTGTCCCAGGCCATATTGTCAAAGGATATATTGTCTCAGGCCATATTATCCCAGGCTATATTGTACTAGGCAATATTGTTGCAGGCTACATTGTCTTATGCTATTTTGTCCTGGGCTATATTATCACAGGCTTTATTGTCCCAGACTATATTGTCCCAGGCTATATTGCCCCAGTCTATATTGTTTCAGGCTATATTGTCCTAGACTGTACTGTCCTTGGTTATATTATGCTAGGCTATATTGTCCCAAGCTATATTATTCTAGGCTATATTGTCCTATGTTACATTATCCTAGGCTATATTGTCCCAGGGTATATTCTCCCAGACTATATTGTCCCAGGCTATATTATCCCAGGCTATATTGTCCCAGGCTATAATGTCCCAGGCTATATTGTCCCAGGCTATATTGTCCCAGGCTATATTATCCCAGGCTATACTGTCCCAAGCTATATTATCCCAAGCTATATTTGCCAAGAGTGTGATGGTATGCTACCTAAACCTTATGTATGTTAATGTAAATATAATTGGTGGTAATTTATTAATCTTTATTATGGTTCCCGGTCATTGTTTGGTGCTGTCACTGTTCAGCACTGTCACTGTTCAATGCTATCAATGCTCAGTGATGTCAATGTTCAGCACTGTCACTGTTCAGCATTGTCACTGTTCAGTGCTGTCACTGTTCAGCACTGTCAATGTTCAGTGATGTCACTGTTTAGCGCTGTCAATGTTCATTGATGTCACTGTTCAGCACTGTCAATGTTCAGTGATGTCACTGTTCAGCACTGTTACTGCTCAGCAATGTCACTGTTCAGTGCTGTCACTGTACAGCACTTTCAATGTTGAGTGCTGTCACTGTTCAGCACTGTCACTGTTCAGCACTGTCACTGTTAAGCAATGTCACTGTTCAGCACTGTCACTGTTCAGCAATGTCACTGTTCAGCACTGTCACTGCTCTAACCTCCTCCATGCTCTACCTCTCAGCGATTATTGTTGGCGGTGAAAGTAAGACTAGCTTACTGATTATGTTCAATAAAAGCAATTAGGTTAACAATACTCACAAAGAGACACAGAAGACATAAACAACAAGGAATTATAAACAAGATGAAGTCCCACAGTGCCGATGCGGTCCAGTAGGTGACGAAATTTACACCAGATACAAACTGAAGATGTTTTGCTTTAGCTGTTAAAAAAAAAAAAAGATTAATTAATAGCTTATTTTTAAGTATTTTACAGAGTGGGCATAAAGTGGGTTCCTGCCACTCAAATATCCATGGCATATCATGTTAACCTGATTCACCAGACTATATTCATTTACAAAGTAATTTGCAAATATTAAGTCCAATTATTGATTTTGAATATTCAAAATAAGACAAAAGCAATATGGAATAACTTACTACTGTGTTCTTGGATGACAAAAATGACAAATGAAGCTGCTAAGAAGGACATCCCAAAGGCCAAATTAAAGCCAATTTGAAAACCTAGATTCTGCCGCTGGTCTTGTGTCAACTGTCAACAGGAATAAGTTTAAAAAATATATAAATACAAGAAAAAAAAGTTCACTTATTACTCATGATGTCTACTAATCTATATTTTGAATTCATTACCTGTGAATATAAAAGAAACACTGTCTGTTTATAAATTCAAGTCTCTTCTCAAAAATCACTTACTCACACACAACTAAATAAATACTGAATAATTGTATCTCATAAATTGTATCTCGTAAATGTTTCTCATTATTGTATCTCATGTCTAACCTGTGACCCAATCAAACTTTATTTTTTAATTACATTACCTAACAGAAGACTCCAATCTACTGAATGCTCAGCAACACAGTAAATGATCACATGACCTGTCTTTGTAATACTCATTTGTGCTAAATTGTTATCTGTTTACAATAATGTATTCACCACTGAATATATCATTGCTTAGTTAATCTTAAATTAATTTTAAGCCTGCTCATAATGCTCTGCATACAAGGAGCTTTGGCATGTTGCACTGTAATAACTTTGTACTTCACTGTATCATGTTCAAATTAATAAATAAATAAATAAATAAATAAATGGTTTCTACAGTGTTCTGAAACAATGGTTTCAGAATACAGATTAGTAAACATCATGAAGAACATGTAACTTACTATAAGCTTCAGGATTATGTATTTGACATTATAAATATTTTGACATGCTGCCAGTAATTTCTCATAGTATTATATCTCTGTATTTTGTAAAAAATTCTGTGTTCCATATACTAATCACAATAAAGGTGACTTAAAGATGGCTCAATATTATAACTAAGACTTAATGGAAACACAAATTTTTATATTGCAAACTATGGAAAATTATTAGGGTAGAAAAATACAGTAGCATATAAAGATAAAGATAAAGATTTATATCTTTGTAAAGGTTACAATGTGTAATTACAATTTTGGTTTGCTAAGTACAAAGAAAGCCACTATCATGCCAAGGCATTTCAGGCAGACTAATCCTAGTACATGGTAACTACTTAAAACTAGACAAGATAATACAGTGGACCCTCGTTTTTTGTAAGCATCAAAAGTCATAATTTTAAAAAATCGTAATGTTTTTTCGTCAAAATATTGACTCGCGAATCGGCGTTTGACTCGCAAATAGTTGTTCATCCCAGACGCAAATGCATGGCCCCGAATGGCCCCACACTCCATTCACAGACAGTGTGCCATTATTTATCAGTGAGTGAGAACGATCCCACACGTTCATACGATACATTTCGTAATATTCCATTTGTTTTAGTGTTAGCAACTGCTAAATAAACCACCATGGCCCCAAAGAAAGCTCCTAGTGCCAGGCCTTTGGTAAAGGAGGTGCACAACACGATAGAATTCAAGAAAAAACTCATAGCAAAGTACCAAAGTGGAGGAGGAAGAGAGAGGGGAGAATGTACCTTCTTCAGTGATTCTATGATATATACAATACTAAAGCAGCACGAGTCGATAAAGGCTATAGCGCCACCAGCAATAAAGTGTAGCATTAACACTGTAGCAAGTAAGTTAAGCGATTAATCGATAGAAAAAAGACAGCATGAACCTAACTTCTCCAATGTTGTTGGAGTTATATAGGGCTACTGACAACACCCCTATCTCTGCTGCCGCCTCCACCACCACTATGTATGGCTTATGCTCTCAGTGGCCCTTATACACCCAACAACAAAACACAACATCACTCGTGACATACGTAATGACATTTTTTATTCATTCTAGAGTATATGTCATGTTTCTATGTTACTAATATTGTTTATTATATCATATTAGATGAATTGTGATAGAAAAATAAGCCATAAAGTTGATATTAGTGTCACATTGAAGGATTATCTTGTCCTGCCTCCAAACACACTTCCCTGCCGCCGCCACAATTCCTAACATACGTAATGACATATTTTATTTATACACCAACAAGAGTCTTCAATAAAGGTAAGTGTGATGTTATAATTGTTTTATTCTTCATGTTTCATTGTTTTCTGTGTATGTAAATCTATATTTCATGTAAAAAAAAAGTTTTTTTTTGTTAATACTTTTGATCTGAAACAGATTAACTGGATTTACATTATTTCTTATGGGGAAAATGGCTTTGCAAATCATCATTTTCACCATTAGTCACACTCTCTTGAATGGATTAATTACAAAAAATGAGGGTCCACTATAGTGGTTAACTTTATTAAAATTACATTTAATTTTTATACTAATGCGAGGTAGTCAAGGTGGAGGTTTATAAGAATAATAATCTTGAAGTTGCACATAATAAAAACAATATTACAATATTCCAAGATGACAAAACAGAACAAGAAAAGTTGTCTGATGCATTTATAATAAACAGCTCCCACTTTACCAGTGATATAACCCAAGCTAACTGCAAAGATACTGCTATCAGGATCATAAAAGACCACCTAAAAGTTAACGTGCACAACAGTGATGTTAAAGAAACAAAATTACTAAGAAAGCATGGTAGTAAACAAAGTACACCTACCATCCGACTTACGACTGAGTTCGGTTCCGAGAAACCGGTCGTAAGTCGAAATGGTCGTAAGTCGAACTTTTCTAATGAATATCAACAAAACATTTTTGTAATGACTTTATTTTATTGTTTTATTTTGGTATTTCATATTTTACTTTACTTTTTATGTTGTTAGTACTGTAGTTTATACTGTAAGGTTTAGGATAAACACTGTGTACAACACAAAGAGCTGTTTATTTCCCAGAAATTTGGCATAAAAAACACGGTCGAGTGGTCGTAAGTAGAGCAGGTCGTAAGTCGGATGGCAGGTGTATTATGATCAGACTTCGTTCATATGATACATAAAAGAATCTAATTCAATCAGCAATTATAGTAAAAAATGGAGAGCACATCAATGAGTGCCTGACGAGAAAACATCAAAACCTTATGCTCAGGTTGAGAAATCTTAAACGGGAACACAGTGACAAAATCCATCAGTGCTTCACTCGAGATGGGAAAATATTAGTTAGAAAAACAGCAGTAGGCTGCTCATACTATCACAAACCCAAACCCCTCCTTTAAAGTGCAGGCATTGTACTTCTCGTTTCCAGGATTCAAGTCCAGAAAACCGGTTTCCCTGAATCCCTTCACAAAATATTACCCTGCTCACACTCCAACAGCTTGTAAGATCCCAAAAACCATTCATCTCCATTCACTCCTATCTAACACATTCATGCATGCTTGCTGGAAGTCCAAGCCCCTCTCCCACAAAACCTCCTTTACCCCCTCCCTCCAACCTTTTCATAGACGACCCCTACCCCATCTTCCTTCCCTTACAGATTTATACGATCTCCTTTGTTCCATTCTCTATAAATGACCAAACCATCTCAACAACCCCTCTTCAGCCCTCTGACTAATACTTTCAATAACTCCACACCTCCTCTAATTTCCTCACTATGAATTCTCTACATAATATTTACACCACACACTGCACTTAGACAGGACATCTCGACTGCCTCCAGCTGCCTCCTCACTGCAATATATACATCCCATGCTTCAGACCCATATAAAAGTGTTGATACCACTATTCTCTTGTACATTCACTTCTTTGGCTCCATGTTTTTTGTCTCCACAGATATCTCAAAGCACCACTCACCTTTTTTCCTTCAACAATTCTATGGTTAATTTCATCCTCCATAAACCCATCCACTGACAAGTCAACTCCCAAATATCTAAAAACATTCACTTCTTCCACACTCCCTCCCTCCAATATGATATCCAATTTTTCTTCATCTAAATTGTTTGATACCCTCATCACCTTACTCTTATCTATGTTCACTTTCAACTTTCTACCTTTACAACTTTTCTTTAGAATCCTCCAAAAGCACAGTATCATCAGCAAAAAGTAACTGTGTCAACTCCCATTTTTGTATCTGATTCCCCATAATTTAATCCCACCCCTCTCCCCAACACCCTAGCATTTACTCTTTTACAACCCCATCTATAAATATGTTAAACAACCACTGTGACAACACATCCCTGTTTAAGACCTACTTTTACTGGGAAGTAATCTCCTTCTTTCCTACACACACTAACCTGAGCCTCACTATCCTCATAAAAACTCTTTACAGCATTTAGTAACTTACTACTTACTGTAGAAATAATAATAATAATTATTATTAACAAAAAAAGGCACAATACCGTGACTGGAACGATACACAAATAACCCGCACATAAAAGAGAGAAGCTTACGACGACGTTTCGGTCCGATTTGGACCATTGACTTTGTCAATAATACATTGCCTTTATACACACCATCTCCACTACCTCCTCACTGCAATGTTTATAATACATTCGTCACACTTATATAAGAGTGTTAGTACCACTATACTCTAGTATGTACATTCACCTTCACAATGCATTCACAAAGAGAACAAGGAATTAAAGAGTATAAATAAAAAACAAAATAAAAACCTTACATAATTCCAGACCAGAACTAGCTAATTACCTTTTCTATATCAGTCCTAGGTAAAGGATGATTAACCGTTGAAACAGTGACATTCTTCTTGCCTGTCATAACTCGTAATACTGCGTTGTCTGCCATGGTCAAAGCTAATGGTGGAGTGTGAAATGGCTGGTTGTTGAAAAGTGCTAAGATGTTAGCTCCATCTTCAGTACCTTCAATCTGAAGACCAACCATCCAGTGCTGGTTGAAAGATGGAAGATCACTGCTGGCCTGGTAAAAGAGAGAGAAAGAATTATTAAGGCTTTCAAAAGAATAATATGCAATAATACTGGGGGCTGATCGTCAAACTCTCCACTGACTGCATTCAGCCCTGATTTTATCTAAACTAGATTATAGCAACCATATACATGTATACTCAGCAGCCTCTCCTGCAACTCTTTCTAACCTTGATCCCATCCATCATCACGGATTACGTTTATGCCTAGGTGCTTTTTGCTCTTCACCTGCAGAGAGCCTATATGCAGAGGTGAACATTCCATCCATGAACAATTGCCGTGTTGCTCATTGCCTCCGCTTTTCTATTTGCTCTCATGATCTCTGCAATCCTTCCATATATAGGATAGTAATGGACGTCTGTAGAGGTCCATTGTTTGTTTGTTGCCCCTGTTTACTCTGTCCCTTTTCTCTTTGTCTATATTCGCTCTTGTCTTCTCTTCAGTTGCCACCTTTATATGTTCATCTAGCATCTAACTTTTCCCTTCCCCCTTGAGAGGTTCCAACAGTTCGTGTCTGTTATTCCCTACTGCCATGCATGAAAGCCCAAATACCTACAGTTGCTTCTTGCTCCCTTTTTTCTTAATCACCTCCAGTCTCATTCTCATGCCGTCACAGTGTACAGTGACAGTTCTAAATCCTCTGACAGGGTTAGATTTGCAGCAGTGTTTCTGGATAGCATAGTATGAGGGCATTTATTAGACTTGGCTAGCATTTTTACAGCTGAATTGAATACAATTCTTGTAGCAATTATCCGTACTGCATCTATGCCTACCTCTACGTTTGTAGTAGTCTCAGACTCGCTTAGTGCTTTGCAAGCTATTAAAAAATTTGATTCACTTCATCCCCTGGTTCTTCATATATCACTTTGGTTATGCCACATTTCTAGCAAAAACAAAGATATTGTTTTCTGTTGGGTTCCTGGTCATGTTTATGTTCAGGGCAATGAACAGGCAGACACTGCTGTATAGTTAGCTATACAAGGAAGCATCCTTGGTGCCCTGCTCTTCCTCTTATACATCAATGATCTTCCCAACGTCTCACAACACCTGAAACCCATCCTCTTTGCTGATGACATGACTATCTCATCTCCCACCCAAATCTTGCCACACTCAACACCATTGTTAACGAGGAGCTACTAAAAATATCTACATGGATGACAGCCAATAAACTTACACCTAACACTGCCAAAATCTTCTATACAGTGGACCCCCGCATACCGCATGCATCGCATACCGTACAATCCGCACACCGCTCGCTTTTTTGCAAAAATTTTGCCTCGCATACCGCCCAAAAACCCGCCCACCGCTCTTCGTCCGAGACGCGTCCAATGTGCGGCCTGAGCCACGCTCACATGTTCCGCCGGTGGCATTGTTTACCAGCCAGCCTCCGCGGTAACATCCAAGCATACAATCGGAACATTTCGTATTATTACAGTGTTTTGGTGATTTTTTCTGGAAAATAAGTGACCATGGGCCCCAAGAAAGCTTCTAGTGCCAACCCTACAGCAATAAGGGTGAGAATTACTATAGAGATGAAGAAAAAGATCATTGATAAGTATGAAAGTGGAGTGCGTGTCTCCGAGCTGGCCAGGTTGTATAATAAACCCCAATCAACCATCGCTACTATTGGTGGTACAGCTGCTGCTGCTGCTGTACCACCGTCAGCTGCTGCTGCACTGTCAGCTGCTGCTGCACTGTCAGCTGCTGCTGCTGTTGTACCACCGTCAGCTGCTGCTGCTGCTGTAGTACCGTCTGCTGCTGCTGTAGCATCGTCTGCTGCTGCTGTAGCATCGTCTGCTGCTGCTGTAGCATCGTCTGCTGCTGCTGTAGCATCATCTGCTGCTGCTGTAGCATCGTCTGTTGCTGCTGTAGCATCGTCTGCTGCTGCTGTAGCATTGTCTGTTGCTGCTGTAGCATCGTCTGTTGCTGCTGTACCACCGTCAGCTGCTGCTGCTGCTGTAGCACCATTGTTGGTGTGGCTTATTGAGAATACCAAGAAACAATTAACCCCAGAGGATTTGCCACCCAGGATAACCCAAAAAAAGTCAGTGTCATCGAAGACTGTCTAACTTATTTCCATTGGGGTCCTTAATCTTGTCTCCCAGGATGCAACCCACACCAGTCGACTAACACCCAGGTGAACAGGGAAAAATGCCTGGAACTAGTGCTCATATTGGTGAATTTAAAGCCAGCAAAGGTTGGTTTGAGAGATTTAAGAATTGTAGTGGCATACACAGTGTGATAAGGCCTGTTCTGGAAGAAAATGCCAAACAGGACCTACAGTACTCAGGAGGAAAAGGCACTCCCAGGACACAGTGTCTCATCAGTCATTGCTGCATCTTCAATAAAGGTAAGTGTCATTTATTCTTCATTTAGTAGAGACGTACATGCACAATATATATTGTGCATGTACTACTCTACTATTGTGCATGTATCCTTCTCTTTGTGTGTAGGAAAATGTATATTTGATGTGGTAAAAAAATTTTTTTCATACTTTTGGGTGTCTTGCACGGATTAATTTGATTTCCATTATTTCTTATGGGGAAAATTCATTCGCATACCGAACATTTCACATAACAATCAGCCCTCTTGCACGGATTAAAGTCGCTATGCGGGGGTCCACTGTATTATGTTTGGTAATAGAGCAGGTGTTGCACAACTTAACATTAAGATTGATAACACTCTTATTGCCAAACATAATGAGGGCAAATTCCTAGGCCTACACCTCAACAGCAACCTGAATTTCAGCACCCATATCCAACACATAACAAAAAAAGTATCCAAAATGGTTGAGATCCTCCCAAAGATACATTACTAAGTGCCACAATCAGCCCTACTCAAACACACCTAAAGCCAATAATAACCCAGCAAAAAGCCGCACAAGAATAATCACGCAATCCAATCCCAGGCAACCCCCCTCCACTCTTCAAAGGTCTAAACTTACTCACTGTACAGAACATCCACACTTACCGTGCAACCTATATTTACAGAACCTTAAATTCCAATATTAACCCTGAACTAAAATACTTTCTTGACAGTTGTGACAGGATTCACAGGCATAACACCAGGCACAAAAATTTCTATGACACTTCCTGTGTCTGGCTAAACCTATACAAAAATTCAATGTACATAAAAGGACCTAAAATCTGGAACACCCTACCTGAAAACTCTAGAACTGCAGGTACAACCATCACTTTCGAAACTACCATTAGAAAACATCTTATCTCCATGACACACCCCACCATCAGCTAACTACATGTTAACCACCTATTCTCTTGAATCATACACACATGAAAAACAACCTAGACCTACTCTCGATATCTGTGATTCCCCATAATTCACACTTACACTCACCTAATTGACTTCGAACACAGAAATATGTAATAAAACTATTACCTAATGAATCTTAAACTAGTCATAAGTTTGCCTGAGATACTCCAATATAGGAGCTTTAAAAGAAACTATGTATCATACCAAGAGAAAACCATTCACAATGCCAAATTTATGAACTGTAATGTAGTTACCTAGCCTTAATATCAACATGCTCCAAAATCTGTACCAATATAGAATTTGGATTAATCTTAGTCTGCCTGAAATGCCTAATCATGCTAGGCATGATAGTGGTCCCCTCTGTAATTAGTATTTTATAATATGTAAACCACACATTGTAACCCATAAATCACAAAGAATTTACCTCCGACACTATCACCACTCTATTGCCCTTACTTTATCTTCCCTCCTTGCTGATGGACCCACCTTTGACTCAGACTCCCTCGTTGACTTTTTAACAGCAACTTGTATACTACACAAACTTTGATGATACTTCCTTCAACATTCCTCACAGCCCCTTTACATTTCTACCTCTGTTCTCCTCTCCACCTTAGCTGCTTCTTGATCCAGCAAAACACTTGCCCTGCAGTGCAGTATGACCCTAGTATGTTTAACTCTTTCAGGGTCCAGAGGCCAAATCTCAAAGCATCAGCCAGGGTTAAAGAATATTTGAAAAAAAAAAAAATTATTACAGAATTAAAGATATTATTTTTCTATAAGTAATAAAAAACAAAAAAAAAAAAATTCAGATCTGTACTTACCGAGATATAGAGCCGTAAAGTCGATCCTCAATGAAGAAGTGGCAGCATTTTTTTTATTTTACGTTTGTTACTTTTTTCTTTTCTAATATTTTTTTCCAGTAACTTTTGTGGCCTATGAGACCAATACCTGGAGTTTACCTGGAGAGAGTTCCGGGGGTCAACGCCCCCGTGGCCCGATCTGTGACCAGGCCTCCTGGTGGATCAGAGCCTGATCAACCAGGCTGTTGCTGCTGGCTGCACGCAAACCAACGTATGAGCCACAGCCTGGCTGATCAGGAACTGACTTTAGGTGCTTGTCCAGTGCCAGCTTGAAGACTGCCAGGGGTCTGTTGGTAATCCCCCTTATGTGTGCTGGGAGGCAGTTGAACAGTCTCAGGCCCCTGACACTTATTGTATGGTCTCTTAACGTGCTAGTGACACCCCTGCTTTTCATTGGGGGGATGGTGCATCGTCTGCCAAGTCTTTTGCTTTCGTAGTGAGTGATTTTCGTGTGCAAGTTCGGTACTAGTCCCTCTAGGATTTTCCAGGTGTATATAATCATGTATCTCTCCCTCCTGCGTTCCAGGGAATACAGGTTTAGGAACCTCAAGCGCTCCCAGTAATTGAGGTGTTTTATCTCCGTTATGCGCGCCATGAAAGTTCTCTGTACATTTTCTAGGTCGGCAATTTCACCTGCCTTGAAAGGTGCTGTCAGTGTGCAGCAATATTCCAGCCTAGATAGAACAAGTGACCTGAAGAGTGTCATCATGGGCTTGGCCTCCCTAGTTTTGAAGGTTCTCATTATCCATCCTGTCATTTTTCTAGCAGATGCGATTGATACAATGTTATGGTCCTTGAAGGTGAGATCCTCCGACATGATCACTCCCAGGTCTTTGTATATATGTATAATGTATATATGTACACT